ATTGTAAATAAATAAACGGTAGCCCTGTGTTAAGTCCGCATATACCATTAGGCTGACATTATTTTTTATAGAAAATGCTATGGTGTTGGTACGGAACCATTTCGTTAGATTTTTTAAACGTTAGATCATCTATCGTTATTAACTATATGTGTGTCAAACGATTATAAGATTCGACGGATGGTTCCGTAACATGATTGATATAGCACCTAAAAATAATCGGGTAAATGGGGTGGCTCGGCCTTTTTGGGCTCGGTCTCTTTTGGCTCGGCCCAAAAGACATAATAGCGGCCCAATTACAGATCTTTCGGTGGCTCGGATGTAAATGGGCTACCATGGAATTTTCGCATGAGAGCGGCACGGAAGGGTTATTAGGAGCAGAAAAAGAGGGACACGTGTGGCATTAATATAAGAAGGGGCTGGATCATCTAACGGGTGAGGATGAAGGCGTGGCACAAACGCAACGTCAGTACTTATAAATAGGTAAAGTTGGGGTGCACGAGAGGTAATCACGTTACAAACCCTAAAATCTATGTTGTGCCCTTCTAGATAATATACTAACTTGAGCGTCGGAGGTTTACCGCCGGGAATACTTCCCGGCGTCTTTGCAGGTGTTCGGGTGCTTAAGCGGTTGAGGATCAAGGAGGGCCGGTCCGAAGTGCAATAGCACATCAATAATCGCAGTATTTCCCATTTTTATATATAAATGTGAATATTTACATTAAAAAATTTATACTTTAAATGATAGATAGAGAAGTATAACATAATATTTTTATTTTTACAAATAGTTTTGTAATTAATCAGTGGCCAAGGACTCAAGAGACGATAAATCAATACGATAATTAAAGCATGCTCATTTGTCCCCGAGCGATTTGTCTGATGAAGACCCATGCCTTCACAAATCACAACCACTCTCATATTATAATAATAATTATTATTATTATTGCTTTATACATTCACACGAGTCATGTCACTATATAAAGTTTCAGGCACATTACACAACTATATATAATCAAGAAAAGTTGTTAACAAAAAATAATTCTTAAGTGGTCAATTAGTAAGATTTAGAAAATTGGAGCAAGATGATGAGGATGCGATCCCACGCAGATAAAACACAATATAGGAAAATGGGTCTAAGACGTTAAGACACATTACACAACTATATAATCAAAACAAAAAAAAATGTNNNNAAAAAAAAAAAAAAAAATGTTAAGACACATTACACAACTATATAATCAAAACAAAAAAAAATGTTAACAATATATAATTCTCGGGTGGTCAATATGTAAGATTTTGAGAATCACGGAAAGAGGATGTGATCTCATGTAGATGAAGAGCATAATAATAGCGTGGATCTTAGTGCACCATAGTGATGATCCATCTCAAAATCAATTGGTGATGTAATGAGTAGCCCACTAGGCATATAAATTAGGCCCAAATTTTCTTATAGAATCAACGTGGGCAACTCACAAGTGATGCTCCAACACACCATTCACTTGTGAGTTCTTCAAAAGCTCGAGCCCAGAGGAGATTGAGTAGAGAGTTAGCCTAAGCCCATAGCAGGTCGGGTAAAGATAGAGACCCAGACTGGAGTTGACCCGGTTGAGATAGAGACCCAGGCCGGAGTTGGCATGGCTATAATACCATGTAAGATTAGAGAATCGGGGAGTTGGTCTGGCTCTGATACCATGGAAATTTAGAGAACCGGGGCAAGAGGTCCCACGCAGATGAAGCGCACCATAAGAAATTGAGTCTAGGTGCACCATAGTGAGATTTTATCCCAAAACTAATTGGGGATAGGAGGAGTAGCACACTAGACATATAAGCTATGCCCAATTTCCCTTTAGAATCAAATTGAGACAATTTACAAGTGATACTCAACATAATATTTTTTATTTTTACATATATATATATACACGCACACGAAATGTTATATTGGTATTTTGTTTCGAATTGTTGGCATATCACAATAGAAAAATATTTTTTCCACCGTCTTTTTTGTCTTGTTATCAGTTAGCTGCTAATTGATTGTCGGTCATTGTATTAACAGACAGATGACACTAGATTGTATTAGTCGGTTTGACTACTGATTCAATTAATGATTTGTTAGTTAACATTTGGTAAATATCTAAAACTTATATAGCTTTTGTGTTGTATTTTTTTCTTTCTTTTTTTTTTCATTTTTTTAATCATCTATTCCAAAAATGTTAGTCTTTTTGTGCCTTTATATAATTAGTATTTTCATAATTAACATTTTAAAATCCAAAAAGCTGATCAATTACATTTGTTACCAAATTAGCGAATTTAATTGATCAAACTTTTAAATAAAGTCGGATTCGATAAAATAACGCAAATCATGAGGTAACAAACAAACGAGTATATTTTAATATTTTTCGATATTTATCCTCGTGTAATTACTTAATTTAGTATAATGCCCATTTGCAATATTTTATTTAACAATAGGTGCAGTTGGACCATTACAAAATTATACCAACTCCACGTGAATTTCATAGAGATTTTATATTAAAATGCAAGTGCTATTATTAATTCACATATATTTAATTTAAAAATGATGTTGCTAGACTATGAACGACTGAAATTGGACGGTCCAAACTGAAACTGAGGAGGTCAGTGAACGGACGGACCAAAATGGGAGTTAGAAGCTGGAACCCAATTTGGTCACGTTCTTGTCAATGTGGTCGTGGGGCCCACAACAAAAGGTGGTTATAATATGACCCACTGGGCCTACACACTCTGATGGGGCCGATCATCATGCCTTTGTACTTTGCTGCCCATATGATATCAAAGTACCAAATCAAATGTCATTAAAAAATGAAATGAAAAACATGGAAATAAATCCCATACATTTGATGTTGGTACATTTATTGGTAAAATAGGAGAGGAAGTAACACGTAATATTTTAGTTTTATGCAATCTATATTTTTTGATTTTTTTAATTATTATTTTAATTTTATTTATTTATCTCTTTAACTTCGCTTAAAAATTTTAACTCTAGAGGATTCGTTCTATAGAAATTACTTTAAATAAATGATATGATACTTTATTAGTGTTTTCGTTTTGATAAGATGATCTAATAAACCGAAAATGAGAGTTTGTTATAACCGGTCTAGCTTTTGCCCAATATGTTGTAATTATATGAATAAGTTATGGGGAATAAGATGAATCGGTGGAGGAAGAAATGGGGGAAAATGTTTACCAGAGAGGATTTGGGTGAGAATGATAGTGATTCTGTTATTTACATTCATGCAGCACACTCATATAGTGTGAGATATTTGATTTTGCACAAGCATTTCCACTCTACCCTTAGAGCATGTTTGTTTATGAAATTTTTTGGGTTTGTTTGGATTTTTTGATTTAGTTTGGTTAATTTTGAAAAGATGGTAAGGTTAGTTGTTAATAGGTAAATTAAAATAATATTTAAAATAAAATAATTAAAATTGGTTTGATGTAAAAGTAGGAGAGAAAATATTGATGTGATAGTTAATTAAAATAATGTGAGTGGATGAATAGTGAATTAAAGTTGATGTGGTATGTAAGAATGGTTGATTGATATTATTTAATTATATTGATAATATTGATGATAGTGGAGGTTAAGTTAAAGTTGAGTTAAAAAAAGTGGTTGAGTTAAAATGTTGGAATTTTTTTGAAAAATCTTATAAACAAACATGCTCTTAGTAACTCAGCCATACTAATACTTGAACATACTTAAATCTAATCGGGCCTAAATAACATACTTAAAGAGTATGTAGAGTTTGAATTGTTATATCTCACCCATTTATATATGGGTGATATCTTGTTTCCCAAGCCTATGCGGATGGGTTGCCCAAGTGTCCAAATTGGCTTTTCGTACTGACCATGTGCATAAACTACCCAGTTATATTAGGACACGTGGTCCAATCCACTTGTAGTTCTTATCCTAATAATATTTATTCTTATCTCTTAGTCTTTTTTATTAGACGATCTAATCGTACGACCAACTCGACTCCCATCGAGGTAGTTTTTCTTGTCACTATGCTCGTGTACTCTATCCTTCAGGTCGAGTTTCTACCACACTATCCAAAGACTCTAGGTCGACCTGTCAGTGAACTTTTTATCAGTGACGTCCTCTTGACCTGAGGACTCTTCGATCTGTAGCTTTCTCTATCTTCTTTTGACCTATTGGTTTGCCCGATTCGGTTAGCTAGTTTCCCGGGTGAAGTCGAACAAATATGGTATCACATATCAAATAAAATATGAGTAAGACTTTAGGGTACAAAAATTGTATATAAATACATTACTTTTATTATTTTATTTATTATTATATATAATTTAAAATTTTATAAACTTAATTACTCAATTCAACAATTAATATGGTGGAGCGACGATTGGAGTCCGTCCCCACAAACAACGCCAATTGATGATACTCTTGTACCCTAAACCGGCTCTCCTCCAATCCTCCATCGTTTGAGCTCCCCAATACCTGCAAAGACGCCGGGAGGTGTTCCCGGCGATAAACCTCCGCGCTCAAGTCAGTAAAGGATAGAGGAAAACTGTATGGAATTGAAGAGTATTAGGGTTTGTTTAGTGTGATTAATCTTACTTCCTTCATCCATTTACCTATTTATATGAAGTTGTTTAGCCTTTTCCATACACTTTGCTCTTCGCTCGTCAGATCATTTATTCCATTTTTATCGTGACGCTACATGTGTCCCTTATAGAATATTCTTCATAACTGTCTCAGTTGTTCGGTCCTTATCATAATTCCGAACTGCCAACTTCCGGGATCCTAGACTAATTAACTTGCTCGGTAACTCGAGCAAGTCCTCATTGTTTCACCGAGCTACAATCATAATTGAGCTGCTAGCCTAAGGTCGAGTATGATAAGTCGAGCTGTTGGTATCTTCATTGGGCCCGACCTATTGACACCCTTAATAGGTCGAGCTGTTAATATCACGCTGGGCCATCTATAATGCCAAGCTATTAACAGTGTCGGGTTGTCTATAATGCCGCTACTAAGATATCTGCTGCACCGAGTTACATCCAACTCAACTACTAATAGACCGAGCTTCATCCGACCCAACTCTTACTGGGCCGACCTATTATCATCCCCTTCACGTTATTACCATTGAGCCGAACTGATGGCATCCCTCAGCTCTCCGGCCGAGCTAACTCTTCATTCGGTCCACCTATTTGTTCTATTGTGCTATTCCCTCACAATCGTGCCGGTTATTTTATTTTCTCTCTTTTTAGGTTACCCGAGGAACTTATGAATCGAACCGTTCATTTTTCGGTTTCTACAAAGTATAGGATACATAATTTCATCACTACCGGTTCCAATTCCGGTTTTTTTTTTTTTAAAAAAAAAGAAGAAGATAAGAACGGGTCAAGCTCAAGCCCCTAAAAATAAGTAAGCGAGAAAGTTCCCAACGAACGATTCTGAAGTTCGATGGTTTGTACTCAGTCTCAGCCGCCCCACACTCAACAACGCTCTATCCTACTATAGCGTTCATTTTCCCCCCACCGGCGCAGCCTCACGCCGCCGCAATCCGGCGAACAGGTTAGATAAAGTTACTCTTCGAAAATTTCAGTTATTATTATTATTTGGTAATCTTTTGCGAAAATTGTTTACAGAGGCTCTGTGTTGTTCCACGGGTTTGTTAATGGGTTATTTTGTACATTTTTGTGTTTGAAATAATGGCCTATTTGAGGTTCCTAGGATGAAAAACTTCAGTCTGTGGAGGTTTGCGTTGGTTTGTATTGCGATTTTTTATGTCTTGTTCTGAAAAAATGCTTCGTTTTGTGCCTTGACCGCGCTTGGTTTGCTTTTTTGGATCATTTGATGCGATTTCTGTCTTGGGAAGTTGAAACTGAAATAGAATCCCTTATGTTGTAAAAATTGATAGTGTTCCTCATGTAGGCTTCTGCTTTGTATTTACCTCATGAGTAGCCACAAATTGAAGTGCACTTATGTCTGAGAGGATTTTACCCGAGGTGCCTATGTAATTTTTTAGATGATAACGTACATGTTGGGTTAACATTGTAGTGGTTTAGCTGTTTTCTCTCCTTAATAGCTTGTAATAATTATTATTATTATTATTTTCTTTGCGCAAAATTGATGGCTAAGTAGAATTGTCTGAAGATATGCATTTCCCATGTTGTGATTTTTTCATTTTGAGCTTTATACCTCAGTTTTGTAGAATTAGAAACTGAATAAGCATCAGCTATTCGTGGAAGATTCAATTGGTTCTTGATTCTTGATGACGACTCACTGGTGGCTGAGTCTTTCAGGATTTAAGTAATATATTTGTCTTTATTGTTTGGAGTCTTTGGACTTATGTGTATGTCACGGTTTTACTAAGGCGTTCTAAAAATTAAAATTTAAGGAGTCTTTGAGACTGAGGGCACTTGTTTTGATAGCATTAAATGTTTGGTTGTTTTTGTTGTATTGTTTTATGTTAAACGGCATTTCCTAAATGTCGTTGAAGGAAACAATTAGCCTTCATTCAGTCATTGTGGTTGCCGACTTTCCTGTTGGCGTATAAGTATCATTTAGTGATTTTAAATGAAGGTCAATCTGGTGTGCTGAACAGAGATGGGGCTTGGTTGGGATGGGAAATTAGCCGCCTGAGAAAAGTTAGCTCTCCTAACCCCACCCCTATTTTCGGTCACGGGCACTTTACAGCCCTATGCTAACATGAATTGCAAAATTTAAAGCTGGTGAAAAGGCTACCATCCATAAGGCACTTATCTCTATTGTACTTTTCAGAAAATCCCTTAACCTCCTCTCCTCCCATGGCAATTCTTCAGCTAATTGTCCTCCGTTGCCTAAAGAAGTGTGGCATTCTTTTTCAACCATAGGATATAGAAGCTTACTGAAAATCTTGATTATATATTTCTTAACAAGTAGATTGAAGAAGTTTGTCGTTTTGTTTTTCCCGATGTACGAACTAGCAAGGCTATGCCTCCTTTGAAGTTTAAAACTATTTCATTTTTGTTGGTTTAGAAACTTATGTGTTAATAATCTGTCGTGTCCCCACTTTCTCGTGCAGAAATGAGCCGTCCACTCGCTATTCCATCCTCCGCCCTGAAGCGGAAAAGGCCCGAATCACAGCCGCCAGGTCACGTGGACGCCGAGCAAACGATCCTCGATTTGATTAAAAGCAAGAAAGACTCGGGCATTTGGACAAGAGACATCAAATTCGAGACCAAAATCGCCGACAACCTCGTCAGCAAATCCATCAAGTCCCTGCTGGCCAAGAAGCAGATAAAAGAGGTTGTCAACATTCAGAACAAGGGCAAGAAGCATTACATGGCGATCGAGTACGAGCCTTCCAAGGAGGTAACCGGGGGAGACTTTTACGCCAATGGGGCGCTCGACGAGGCCCTAATAGACGTGCTCAGGAAGGTGAGCTACAGGTACATTAGCGTCCAGAAAGTGGGGACGGTTGAAGGGGCCCACGGTTACCTTTTGAAGAATAGGGTAGTCAACTTTAGCATCTCCACCGAGCAGGTTGGGGAGATTCTGAACTCGATGGTCCTGGACGATGAGATAATTGAGGTGAAGAGCACTGGGTATGGAGATTATTACTCGATTCCCATTGGGACGACTTGTTATAGAGTGACTGGTGGCGGTGGGGCCCAGAAGGGCCCAAAGTTGGGTGCGTTTGCTGCGATTCCATGTGGGGTGTGCCCGAGGATTGGTTTGTGTACAAGTGATGGGCCTATATCCCCAAGTACTTGTGTGTATTATACAAAGTGGTTGGATATAGATTTTTGAAAACATGATGTTTTTTTTTTTAGTTCTTGGTAGGAATAGTGATTATTAATATATGTCTTGTTTGGCTTCTTTTTTTTTTTTTTTTTTT